AGTCCCGATGTTATCTTGGGTACGTTCATACTATTTGATTCGGTTATGCATGCCTTGATCGATCCGGGTTCTACGCTCTCCTATATCTGTGTTGGCATGCCTGCTAATTCTGCGATCGTGAGGAGTGACCTTGAGATACCTACTGTTGTATCGAATCCGCTAGGACATAGCATGCGTCTTCATCACATTTATCATAGGTGTCCGTTGTCCGTGCAAAGGAAGCAATTCCCTGCAGATTTGATAGAGCTACCACACAAGGAGTTTGACATTATCCTTGGTATGGATTGGCTCACCGAGCATAGAGTAGTAGTCGACTGCAGTTGTCGAACCGTACGGCTGAGAGCCGACGACGGTAGCGACGTATCACTCTCCGGGGAGGTGTTCCCCAAGGCTCCCAAGTTCATATCGTCCTTGAGCGCGAGGCGCTTGATTCGCAAGAAGTGCGAGATGTTCCTGTGTCACGTTCAGGATATGCGAAAAGAATCACCACGTCAGCAGGACATTCGTACGGTTTGCGACTTCCCCGATGTCTTTCCCGAAGACCTTCCTGGTTTGCCTCCGCCGAGAGAGGTAGAGTTCTCGATCAATCTCATTTCGGGTACGGAACCCATATCTGCTACACCGTACCGTATAGCACCTGCCGAGATGAAGGAGTTGAAGGCTCAATTGCAAGAGCTGCTGGAAAAGGGATTCATCCGACCTAGCGTTTCCCCTTGGGGAGCACCGGTGTTATTTGTTCGAAAGAAGGATGGATCCATGAGACTTTGCATCGACTACAGGCAGTTGAACAAAGCCATAGTGAAGAATCGTTATCCGTTGCCTTGCATCGACGACCTGTTCGACCAGCTCAGAGGGGCTACGGTATTCTCGATGATCGATCTGCGTTCTGGATACCATCAGATTCCCGTTAAGAGAGAAGACATTCCGAAGACTGCTTTTAGGACACGCTATGGGCATTACGAGTTCTCAGTCATGCCTTTCGGATTGACTAATGCCCCGGCAGTGTTCATGGAGCTTATGAACAGTGTGTTCCGACCATACTTGGACCAGTTCATAGTAGTGTTCATCGATGACATCTTGGTTTATTCACGGACTCAGGAGGAGCATGCTAGACATTTGCAACTGGTTTTGAGTGTGTTGAGAGAGCACAAGCTGTATGCAAAATTGTCCAAGTGTGAATTCTGGTTGAGTGAGGTGACATTCTTAGGACATGTTATCTCTGCCACCGGTATCCAGGTAGACCCCAGCAAGATTTCAGCCATAGTGGACTGGAAGACTCCGCGGAATGTTCGTAAGGTGAGGAGCTTCCTTGGGTTAGCCGGTTACTATCGTCGATTTGTTAAGGGCTTCGCCTCGATCGCTACTCCATTGAACAAACTACTGCGGAAGGACATCAAATTTGAGTGGACAGAAGCGTGCTAGCGCAGTTTTGATCAACTGAAGGAGTGCCTGACCCAGGCACCAGTCTTGATTCAACCTACTCCTGGCATCGAGTATACCATCTATAGTGACGCATCTCATAGCGGCTTAGGTTGTGTACTGATGCAGTTGAGTAAGGTAGTGGCCTACGCGTCGAGACAGTTGAAGACTCACGAGGAGAACTACCCGACTCATGATTTAGAGTTGGCAGCCGTGGTGTTCGCCTTGAAGATTTGGCGCCACTACATCTTTGGAGAGAGGATTCACATCTTCACCGACCACAAGAGTTTGAGGTACCTACTCACCCAGAAGGAACTGAATCTTAGACAACGTCGATGGTTGGAGCTGATCAAGGATTACGATTTAGTCATTGAGTATCACCCAGGCAAGGCTAACATCGTGGCCGATGCTTTGAGCAGAAAATCGTTAGCCGAGCTACAGCTTCAGTCTCCGTTAGAGCAGGAGTTCCGTACAGCACAGAGAGATGATGAGTTTTGTCAGAAGACTCGAGAGTTAGTTCCTACAGGAAAGAGGCCCGAGTTTTCAATCCGCGATGACGGAGTCTTGTACTATCGTGAACGCCTAGTGGTACCCCGCGGTGAAGTGAGGGATCGCTTGTTGCGTGAGGCTCACGGAACCGTATACACTATGCACCCGGGTAGTAACAAGATGTATCAGGATTTGAAGAAATCCTATTGGTGGCCAGCTATGAAAAAGGAAATCTCCGAGTTCACTACGCGCTGTTTGACTTGTCAGCAAGTCAAGGCTGAGCACCAGGTTCCGACAGGGTTGCTGCACCCTCCTACCATTCCGGAATGGAAGTGGGAAAGGATCACTATGGACTTTGTGATAGGATTGCCACGATCTTCACGAAAGAATGACGCCATCTGGGTCATTGTTGACAGGTTGACAAAGTCCGCTCATTTTCTACCCGTCAGACGTGACTC